TCATGATCCGATTTGTTGTGTACAAGCAAGTTGTCGTCTCCAACATAATGCACTCTCAGCTTGGCATGTCTCTCTCTCACTACCAACAGTTTATGTTTTCTCGACTTAGACTCTGCCATAAGTATCTCTGGGAATGTTCATTATCGGCTGATGTAGACCTGACCAAATGTAAACTGTGTCAACAAAATTATTCGCACACCCTCCGTCACTATGTGATGGAGTGTGAAAAGATACGTGAATTCAGAGACAATTCTATAACAAATGTTCAAGAGATGTATAAATATTTAATTCAAAATGATCTACTATCAGAAATCTTAGCCAAATATCCCCAGTTTGCTAACTGTAAGTAGTAACTGGGTGATTGTAACCTATCCACCGCTGCCCACTGGATGGGGGGCGGTGTGCAGGACAAACATATCAATTGTGACACTAGCTCTCCACATATGTCATTTGCTTAATTTAGAAACTGTACTTGTGGTCGATCTCGAGCCCATTGATGATATGACGATGTGCATTGAATTTTGTAACAAGCTCATCAAGATTTTAACTTGCTTAGCTAAATGAATTGTGGGGTTCAGTCCCTGAACCCATTATGTGCCTCTGTAACCCTTTCCATTACCGCCCACAAGATGGGTATGGGGTGCATAATAAATGAACTAACCTTAAAAATATATATATTTACAGTACAATCAAAATACTGTATAATGAATATGTTTATGATTTTCGGAGTAGCAGTTATTTGTTGACTACAGAAATTCCAGAAAGATTCAGGATATCTGGAGACAATCCGCCGTTATTGGTTGGGTCAGCACACGAAAACTATTCTCCATCTCTGCTATTGGTTGGACTGAGCTGGAGCCAAGAGCCTCGGTGCCTGCTATTGGTTGAATCTCGCACGCCTGTGACGGAATGAGTCTCCAGCTCAGCGATTGGTCGATACGAGAGGATTGGAGGCGGGGCGAGCCGTGAGATCTTAAATAAGGAGAATAACACATTGATTTTATTTCTCAGAAGAAACCCCCGCAACAGAGGCAGTAGTGACAGACCTTCCCGGCAAATATTCAAGGTAAATTTCATTTACATTTCAGTAATTCCTCACAGAGAGGCTATCGTAATCATTAAAATAATCTTTGGAGAAATTTAGGCTAAATTAACAATTTCAGTTTAATTTAAATTTTCTTTTTTTTTAAGAGTAATGTTGTTGTCATTCATTCTTTCATGTTGGCATTTTTGTTCCACGCAAGACTCAGCCTTTGTGGGTTCTTGTCTTGGCGGTGGTGTGGTGGTCCTTGTCCTGGTGGTACGGTGGTGGTCCTAGTCCTGGTAGTGGTCTTGATGATGGGGTGGTTGTCCTTGTCCTAGATATTGGGTGGAGTAACCTGGTGATTGGGAGGGTTTTTGGGCTGGGAGTTATACTGCTGTTCGAGGTGAGGTTCCTTGTCCTTGTGGTGGGGTGGGGGGGGGGATGATTGACAATGTCTTTGTGGTGGGGTGGGAGTAGTCCTTTTGCTGGTGGTAGGGTTGGGAGGGGGTAAGGGACATACTGGTGGGATGGGATTGACCTTGTCTTGGTGGGAGGGATGGGTAGACTTCAATTTTGTGATGAGAGTGGGTCAACTTTATCCTGATGATAGGGTGGGGGTCGACCTTGTCATGACAGGGAAAGTAAGGAGGAGAGGGGGTATTTTGTCCCGGTTGTGTGGTGTGGCGGGTCATCTGGTCCTGGTGGCGAGTTTGACTCTCCTTTCATCCTGGTAATGGAGTGGGTGTCCTCGTGTTGGTGCTGGGATAGTGGTCTTCCTTATCCTGATTGTGGGTTAGAACTCCTTGTCCTGATTGTGGGAGCAATTCATTGTCCTGGAGGTGGCTTGTAGGTCTTGTACCCCCCCCCCCCCTCCCTCCCCTACTGTACCCAAACCAAAACAATCTAGTATCACAATGTGTACGTAAACAACATCGCAAACAAAGGATTATATTAAATCTAATTCTCTCCCACAGATGAACCTGCGATCGTCAGCGCTGGTGCTCCTGGCTGTGGTGACCGTGGCGTCCTGTGGTACCGCGTTCCCACAGCGTTCACCACAGCCACAGCCAGCGCCTCCTGCGACCACAAATAGACTGATACGGGGCGACGGGGACACCTCCAGACGCCCTTACCCAGTCTTCCGCCCCAGGATCTTCGACGGGGTCGCCTCCTCCTCGGGGATTTTTGGAGTAGGTCTCGTGTGTTTATTTCGGAAAAAAATATATGATACAATTTATTGACTAGAAAATCTTTTACATCACTTCTCTTACTGCCGCAGCGTCGATACAATAAAGTAATATGCAGTATCTTAAAAGTAATTCTAATTTACGATATGATATACGCTACGTACAAAACCTGTGGTAGATTAAAATGGAACTCTTCAACTTACTTGTAAATGCTCAGTTGAGCTGCTACGATCTATTGCACAAGACTTAGCACAGAAACAATAAGATAAACTGATAGACTGACAGACAGGCTAACAGACAGAAAGACAAACGCAGTGACATTATCGTGAAGGTCATAGGCAATAATCAAAAGTATATAATTCAGTATATAATATATAAAAATATCAAACTATATAATATAGTTTGACCCAAATAGACCCAGCTTCCGTCATAACCCATTACATTTCTGCCCGAAACGCTTTGCGTAATAGTGGCTTTAGGCATTGCATGTACTAGCTCTATCTATTAATCCAACAAACTTTGTAAAATCTCTTGTATGTATGTACCTTACCTAAATAAACATTTATTTATTTATTTACATCGTGCTCCAGATCGCAGTGTATCTGGGCGAGCTCGTGGCGGGGACGCTGCTGGCGATGCTGGTGCTCTACCTGGCGGGTGTCGTCTACGGCGTCGTCACCGGAAAGAAGACCTTCAACTTCGCACTGGAAGGGCGCTCCGTCGAGGATGTCAAGTACGCCTTCGGTGTCGCCCAACAGGCCTTCGAAGCCATCGAGAACTTCCAAACCCAGTTCATGAATGGAGACCAGTATAAACTTTAACATTAGTGTAAGCTTGTGTGTCATTGTGAAGTCTGTGAAATTAAATAAATAGCAAAATATATTTGATAAAGCAAAGGTGTTTAATTGAAGTTCATCAATGATACGACTGTACTGTCCTACCGAGAGGACAATTATAAGGTTGATGAAGCTGACGTTACTCAGTCGGCTGGTGTAGGGAGTAAGGTTTATCAGCCTCTGAAGGGTTTCTAATGTGAAACTTGTTTAAATGAACAAATCCACAAGGGCCGTGACGAGGATTCGAACCTGCGTCCGAGAGCATTCCAGACGCGGCCTTAATCGACTGATGAACAAATTTTGTTCAATTGATGCATCACGCAATTGTGATTTCTGTGTGTAATGAAACTTGTTTATTAATCAAGTAGCAAGTATGTACATATCCAACCCGATCTCACAACTAGTGCGTCTCATTATATACTGTATGGTCTCCAACGTACAAATTACGAAGTACTATGAAAAGTAGCAGTGCATAAATATCAACGTATTCAGTACATCGATGGGTGTGTTGCATGGGTTCGTAGGTTTCTGGTTAGGTTACGATTTTGTATTTTATATGTTGTGCCAAATCAAGACAATGGGCTGCCATCAAGGATCAAGGACTTCAGGTGGGTGAGGGTCGTAAACAAGGCGGGGCATAAACAGAGTTCTGAAACTAAAAACAGGTTAGAACTCATAACAATGGGGACAAGCTGGAGAAATTGAAATTTAGAAGGACTATAAGGAAATTTAAGTAAGTTTATTAAGATACGTATCCACTCGGTTTAAGGACCTATATGGGGTGAGAGGCTATATCCTGCTCGTTAAATACGGGGATCCGCTAAACCCGGAGGTTATAAAATGTCGGCAACTTATTACATTTATTCGGAAGGGTACCAGGTCATTGGCTAAAAAAGCATAAATATGATTTATTTGTGTAAATGTAGACGCCGTTTACTGATCTCAAATTCAGCCGCTAGAATCGTTGGACCGATAAATCAGAAGTCTTTAAATAGAGTAGGAACTATTAAAATACATCTCAAAAAAAGATGGAAGAGCTACTCTATCCTTGTGTGATGCATCTTATTGTCTCAATAAACGTACTCGAACTTGAACATCTCAATAGAATATATACTTCCTGTCCCCGACAACTGAAATTATTATATACAACCCTTCCTCCAAATTTGATAGATCCCATTTATAATGTGGGTGGAATGTACAAAAAATGGCTTGTGTTCCCCCCAAAAAATTCAAGTGTTGTACTATTAGTATACTAAAGGCCATCAAAAATGTGGAACAGGGTAATCATTATTTAGGTTCGCAATAACCGATCTCGAACCCATTGTTGATGTGACGACTTATACTGAATTTTGTAACTAGCTCATCAAGATTGTAACTTGCTTAGCTAAATGAATTGTGGGGTTCAGTAATTGAGCCCATTATGTGCCTTTGTAACCCTTTCCACTACCGCCCACAGGATGGTTATGGGGGTGCATAATAAATGAGCTAAACTAAAACTGTCACCATGAGGGACTCATGGGGCTTCCCCAAACATATGCCCGTCTGTGCGTTTATTGTTCGCGAGGCACATTAGTTTTCACTGATAGGCGACATTCATTTCGCCGTTAGGCTTGTCGATTAACCCTCCACGGGCACACCGGGGCGCATCCGATTCCACGATCGTCGTCGCCCCTAAATCAACGACAACTAGTTAGTTTAGTTCATTTATTATGCACCCCATACCCATCTTGTGGGCGGTAGTGGAAAGGATTACAGAAGCACATAATGGGCTCAGGGACTGAACCCCACAATTCATTTAGCCAGGATCCTAATTGCTAAGCAAGTTACAATCTTGATGAGCTAGTTACAAAATTCAGTATAAGTCGTCACATCAAGAATGGGTAACGGCAACAACAACTAAATCAACAACAAACAGTGGGTGGAGGATGGGAAGGAGAGACCTGTCGGTGTTGGATAGAAAGGAGCAACTTGTCATGGTGGATGGAAAGGAGAGACCTCTCAGTGGTGGATGGAAAGCAGAGACCTGTTGATGATGGATGGTAAGGAGAGACATTTTATGCCCATCCTAAAAATGACATCCTGTCATTTTAGGATAGGCAAGAAAGACCAGTCAGTGAAGGATAGGAAAGAGAAATCGGTCAATGGCGGATGGGAAGGAGAGGCACGTGAGTGGAGGATGAGAAGGAACAAGTGAGTGTGACGGATGTGAAGGAACAACGACCGGGTCCTGAGATAAGTAAACATGAAGTGTCTCTTGAGGACGTCCGCGGGCAGTTGTCTAGGTCTTCATGCCCAGCTTATGAGGCTGGCAGCTACTCGACTCAAGATACGGCAGTTGTCAGCGAGGTCTGAAAGGTTGGTTTGCCTCCTGCCATAATTTAGCATTTTACGATCAGAAATATTTGAAGTTCGACTTTGGGGTTTGATAATAATGCTTCTCCAATCTCTGGCAGAATCACTCAGTGGAGTAATTCCACCGAGTGATTCACGACAGAATAAGTGTTTAGTATAGTACAACGCCACAAAGTATCAAGTAATTTAATGACAAACTTAACAATGAATCCTTTTTTCAGTCACTTTTATAGTTGTTTTTCTTCTGTATATGGTCATATTGAATTCAGTCCCTTGGCATAAATCATATTCATGTTTTTTTAATTGTATTTAATGTTAAGCTAGGTTGGGTTAGTTAGAGTAAGGTCAAATCATATGCAGGCATTTCAATAAAGCTCCTTTTCCAATTGTTACAACTATATATTTTAGGGTTAGGCAATGATTTGTTATGTTCACTACAAAAATGAATTCCCAGTTTGCTTCTTTATTAGCCTAAGAAAATTCTTCAGTTTCTTAGGCTACATGAACCAAAGTATTAAGTGAAAGAAAATGTGCCCAACCATTTCTGTTCTGCCCGTGAATTGAAGCCAGGATCCTAATTGTGAGTCGAGAACGAAGTAATTGATGACATCACATCTCGTACTGTGACATTAATTATATCTTGGTTATACTATATTAGTGGTTTGTTTAATACTTCTAACTTTCACAAGCTTAAAATATTTCCAGGTGATTCTACTTTCATCATTTCCAGCCTGAGCCAAAAAGTCCACTCATGAACGTCAACAATAAGTTCAGACTAAACATAAAAAAAACCTGCTGTACTCTATTAGTCTAGTTTATAGTATGTTATTATAGGAATTATATACGTTGTTGTTATAGATTCAGCTGCTCGGAACAAGTTCCAAGTAGCACGGGCTATGGTGAGCCCGTAACTTACCTGGCACAGGAGCGAGGCAAGTAGCACGGGCTATGGTGAGCCTGTAGTGGACTTACCTGGTACAGGAGCGGTGCTGAATGTGTGCTCGAATTATATACTGTTATGCCAAATAATATTGTGCGGAAGATTGTTATAATATAGATAATAATACAATGTTCAGTACATATTTATACTAGCCAAATTCTTTAACAAATACAAACACCCAGGTGACCAAACAATTTATGATTACTAAGATCACTTGCCCACAAATTTTAGTTAATATCTTGGTAAATATTGCATTTGCAGATTAGATTTTTGTGTCATTCTGTATCTCATCATTGATACAGCACCATAAATTTTTCTGTAAAGTTATTATTTATGTTTTTATATTCAAATTGACCACTACATGTATCTTATGTGGTCAAAGTTCAGTAACTTTTCTCTGTTTTCCCTTTACAACTTGTAGATTGTTATAGTTTTACATTTAGTGACTTGGAATGAATTTGCAGTACAGGTACATAAACAATATGATTATTTGTTGGTTAGCACTTACAATTAAATAATAACTTGCTGACAAAATTATGAATTTATTTTTGGCCCACTAATGCTTCTTTCATGCCTTTCTAGTTATGCTCCAGTCAGTATGGCATATACTTCCTTGCAACAAACTGTACCCGAGAAGATTAGTAAGGAACCACCAATTATCATTATGCATGGCTTGATGGGTTCCAAAACAAATTGGAAATCACTTGGAAAGGTCATCAATGCAAAAACTGGAAGACATGTAAGGATTGTACTGCATTTTTTTTTTTAATTATAGTTACATATATCTCAAGTATGGAACAATACTAAAAAGTGATCAACAGTGACAAATTAAATATTTTAGTAGGTTTAACTCCTCTTTCCAGAACTGTCTAATGGATATTTCAGAAATACTTTGAATTTTAAGTTAAATGAATTCCTACATTGTCACTTTTGTGATATCATACTATATTTTTGTTGTCAAGCATGTAACTGGTCTGTTGCTTCAGCTTAGTTGTAAAAACAAACTTTTACAGTTCAGGTTTTGTTATACTATATAAATATATTTTGTTGAGAGTCAAGATTAGAGGAGTGAAGAAGTCACACCATATGAATTCATATTTACTTCATTGCAATCAGAAACCCTCATTTGCAGTATGTATTGTATCATTGTTGGCAGTGGAATTTTACTAGAGTGTAAAAACTATATTTATATTTAAAACTTTTTGTCACGTTCTTTTATTTTATTGTAGACTAAATCGCAACCAAAGCAAAATTTACCCATTCTTCATGCAGGCAGCAGCAATTATTTACTAGTCAACTCATGTTTTGAGTCTGGAGTTGCTACCACAGCCAGTAAAAATGGAAGTGTGTCTTCATTGGCTGTGAACATGTTGGAATGTTGTAAAAAGGCTATTGGGAATATAACGGACTTGGATTACCGCTCCAGTACGTTTGAAGCCGCTAGTAGCTGTTGTGTGATTTAACATTTTACATTTAAATAATACTGACTACCCACAATTGAGATAAATTAAGTTGTCTTGCTGGAAGTGGGAGTTTTGATATTGGGAAGTTCTGAATAACCTTTTCAGGTTTACACAGTGGATGCTCGCAATCATGGTGACAGTCCACATACATCGCAGCATTGTTACCCCTTGCTGGCCGAAGATATCTTATTTTTCCTCGACGAGCACAGAATTCCTAAGGCAGTACTCGTCGGCCACAGCATGGGAGGCCGTGCTGTCATGTCTGTTGCTCTGAAGAAGGTACAGTATCTAGTATTCTCTATTTTTGACACTTCATATAATAATAATAATAATTAATTCCTTATTTAGGTAAAAGTACATCCAAAATGAGTTACAAGCAGAATGTTGGATTTCTAAATAGTTAGTATATACTATGCCTAAAGCCATTAATACGCACAGCGTTTCAGTATTTATATATACAGTGATACCTCGGAATATGAGTGTCCCTGTATACAAGTTTTTCGAAATACGAGCAGGATTTGCTTGGAAAAGTTACATTGGAATATGAGCGTTGCCTCGGAAGATGAGGGTGTTGATACGCGTGCACGCCGACTAGTGCGTGGTGGCACGGCGATCTCGCCTCAGTTTACCAGTGCCTCGCGCCTAGTGACTATCCCGCCTGAATTCTTTACAAGGATTTACAGTTTTTTGTCGGATTTTTGGCCATTTGAGCATAAAAGTTGTTACTGTATTATATATCTCGCCATGGGTCCCAAAAAAGCCAGTGGTAAGGTTCAACCTAAGAAAATAGTTGTGAGTAGAGGCAGTAGAGGATGTCCCTTCTTCATTAAGAAAATGTGTGAAGTATGGGAAGAACTGCAAAGTTTTGTTGAAAAAACTCACCCAGATAAAGCTGTAGCAGGCCGTTGCATTGACCTTTTAAATGACAATGTCTTACTACAGACAATTGGTAAAATGTAGGGAAAAACAAGTGTCTTTAGACAGATTCTTAGTAAGACAAGCAAGTCCTCGTGGTATGCAGGCAAAATGTGCCAGAGAGTGCACACCAGTGAAGTCCTCACTGCCTGATGTTATAATGGAAAGGGACTCCCCTTCCAAACAGTAACACCTCTCCTCCTCCCTCCTCGTCACCATCTTCCATATGCCAACAGAAGTCATCAGCAAGGGTAAGTAATAACTTGAACATAGTTTTGTAGGTTTATTTAGATGAATTAGGTATAAAATTTAGTTTGAAGTGAGGTTTTTGGGGTAGTCAGGAACGGATTAATTCATTTCCCATTATTTCTCGTGGGGAAATTAGCTTCGGATTATGAGTTCGGAATACGAGCTGTCTCCAGGAACGGATTTAACTCTTAAACCGCGGTACCCCTGTAGTTATATATAAATAAAATTTTTTTTACTGATATACGGTAGAGCATATGAATACATATCTGTAGCTAAGATTGTTATGTACATTATACAATATCTTTAAAGATGACGCTGTTAACTTTATCTTGGTGATTAAGAACAAGTATTTACTATTTATACTACTGTATTTGTATTCATACCTACAGAATATTTTTATGCTGCCAAGCTGTTGATGTTTATATTTTTAATATTAGATGTTTTTCAGAATTTATCTGATGTTAATGATAAGGAAACTATTTCTGAGCTATTCCATTTTGGTTACTCCCTAAGTTAAGAGTATTCTTGGTCTTATTGGACAAGAGTATGACAGTGAAGGCGGGGCAACAATCTTGTACCGATGACACAGGAAACCTTGAGACATCTCTGCAGGATTGAGGTGGTACTTGGGAGGCACTGGAGAACACCTTCAGTGTGCAACCTTGTTTTCCTTCCTAGTGCTTCATTGTTGGCAGTCTATTGTGGAGTCATGAAGGGCTGTGCCTGGGCTGTCACATGTCTGAGGTCTTATTAGACCATATTTTCTGTCCTAGTGTGGCCAAAATGTGTTGCATCACGGGTAGCGGTAAAGTTCAGCCTGCTGTACTTTGGAGGACGGATGACATTACTTGTAACCATAGACTGTGTCCTGGGCCCCTACTTCTTTTCTTTATTAATTTTCATTCTTCTTGTACATTAGAGTTTAGATATTTCTTTCCCGATGCACTTGGTTAAATTACAGTTCCTCTTTGGCATTTGTCAATATATGAAGGCAATGCAATTTTTAGATGACTGATACATATATAGATTTGATGAGTTAAGCTGTTGTAGCTTCAATCTGCTACTATTGGGCTAATAGCAGATTGAATCTGCTGAACTTGAGAGAGAGAGAAAAGAGAGAGAGAGAAATATACAAGAAAAGTGGCTTGATAGGCCTTCTGCAGTTTGGTGTATTCTTGTATTCTGCTCACAATTCTGCAGTTCTGCTTGATATGCTCACAATTCTGTATCTACAGTACTATGTATTTATGATAACGTGTTTCTTACAATACTCACATCTGCACAAAGTGAGACCAAAATGCTGTGAAGGTTTTTGTGTTATTTTCCTTAAATTTTAAGGCTTTGCTGTATATAATTTTGTTGCAATATCATTAGAGAAAGCAAGGCTATGAAAGTAAAGATTTTCTTTAAGATTTGAATATTATCTTACCTCTATAACTATTTGCCATGGATAATTGGCTTACCTCCAGCTCAGCATACAGTATTATTACTTTCTATTACTTTGAATTAACCAAATTTTCAGCCATCTGTTGTGGACAAGTTGTTTGTGCTGGACGTTTCACCTGTGGGAACTTCCAGAGACATATCAAGTTTGCCACGCTTTTTGGAAATAATGCGGCGAATAGAGGTACCTCCACACCTCAATATGCAGGAAGCTCGGAAGTACACAGATGAAATACTGAAACCAGCTGTACCAGTGAGTACGAAGCTTTATGGTTTTACTGTATTGTCTTCAATCTTTTTACTAGTGAATTCTCACATTTAATATATATATATGTAGTAGTTGTGTTCATTGTCACTAATTAGTAGACTAATTTTGTGATAATACTTTAATTAGACCTTATGGCTTGTTAATTCTGAATAAATTTCTTAAACAGTCATTATATGAAATGTAAATACTCTCTGTAAACTCAGCCCTTGCATCTTGGAGTGACCAACTGCCCTGCTTAGAGAGGCGCTTTGCATATACAGTACAGTACAATTAAAACATGATATTTATATTTCAGTATTCCAGTCATTAGTTATGGTTGATGGCACAGGCATAGTAAAAAGACAAAAATATATCCTATTTATTAATGTTCATTAATGAGCTGTTACATTTGGCTGCTGCTTGATCCACTTTGTCTTACTGGACAGGATCATAAATAGTCAGACAATACAACATGGTAGCACCAGTGACGCATCAAGCTTTACACTCTGTCTCTTATTTAGTCATTATAGGTGCTACCAAGTATTGCAAAACATTCAGTGTAGCCCAGAATGACCATCCAGCCTATTCGTAAAAACTCAAAGCCCTTGCTAACTTGACACGACTTGTTAAGGACCGAAGTATCATCACATTAATTTCTTTTCCTTCATGTGGTTTGGGTTTATTGTTGTAATCCTTGTACTTTATGATCATGAAAATGTATAAGATAAAACTGTCATGAAGGGCAGTACAATGAGGAACTGTGGTGATGCAGTTACAGAGAGGTGTGAGTGAGCAAATAAGCTTTGAATATTACTAAAGCAAAGGCAGGAAGTGTGACTTTAGTATTGCATACGATTATACAGATTATGCTTCTGTAGTATAGTCATGTGGAACAAATGGTTATTGGGGGTTTGAGAGTGTGTTTGTGAGAGTAGCACCCCTGGAGAGGAAAGCGAATTGTGGATATGATACGTGTTTTAAGAAAATTTGATAGCTTGGGGGGATTAAAAACATGAGGAGTGGCAGTGACCAAAATTTAAATGGGATTTTTCTGGGGGGGGGGGGGGGAGCCTGGATAACTCTGAGGAGCTATCCAGGCTGATATGTATATTATTAGACTTTGGTATCAGTCAGTATGAATGGAGTTCTAGGCCTACCAGGGACCATGAGCCAGAGCCTGGCCTCCTCAGAGAGGTACGAGGAGCAATAGCCTATAGAAATGCACATGGGATTAGGAGCACTCTATGTCTGCCATCGTCCGGGCCAAGCACCCAGTGAAGCCTCCGAGACCCGAGTAGCCTCCAGGTCTCGCCCAGAAAATGGTGTTTCATTACATTCAACGCTTTTTTTTCCCCCCTGGAGTACTTTTACTCCTATTCAATGAAATGACTGAAATACAGTACTGTTGTGGACGTTGTGTTCAAGTGTGGTGGACCAAGTTTTCCGGCAATGGTACCAGGCGTGCACATGGATATATATGCACCGAGAGTTTTACCCCGTTTCTGTGTATTTACTTGAGAGTTTACTTTAGCTCTGATTTATGTTCAGGACTAAAGTATACAGGTACTTGCTAGCTGGTCGGTATGCTAGTGTGGTGGCCTTAATAAGCTTTCCGTGGTTAATAGGCCTTAAGGCCAACACTAACCCAAATCGAGTATGATATGAAAGGTCTGATTTCTCTCAAAGTGTTTTTTTTTTCCCCTGTAAAACTTTTCCAGGTCAATGTCTCCTTTATCCCTGAAAGAATGAAAGGAGATGGTGATATTGTATATAATGGCGACACATTAGGGGCGAAAGAGTAAAGTTGATCTACGGTATACTTGATATCATTGCAGCTTGAATTAATGTTGTTATCTTTGCATTAACAAAGTGTGCTAAGGATGAAAATGATAAATATTGACCATATATTACCTGTTTTTAAAAGTTTACAGTATTGTTGTTTTCAGGCACTGAACTTGCGGCAGTTTTTACTCACCAACCTTATTAGCACCGAAGAAGGCTACAAATGGAGACTTAATATTGAGTCTATTGCAAAAAACTTCAATCCATTTATATCTACCTTCCCAATCTTAGATGAATATAGAGCATATGAGGGTGAAACAGCCTTCATTGGAGGTGAATTATCAGATTACCTGAGGTGAGTGGTTGATAGAAATGAAAGCAGTTACCGTACTTGTTAGTACAAGTATCTACTATATCAATGTGACTGCAATAAAATTCCTCTATTTAATATACAGTAATAGCATATAGGCAGAATCTAGCTTATTCCATGTGGTTAACATATTTCCTTTATCATTTGTTGTTCATATTTTATCAGTTATTATCATTAGCTTATCCAGTTCTTACTTTCATGGGGGTGGGGAGCAGCGGAGGGAAAATTGGTTATAAATATTAATAAAGACAAATATCGCTTGTCAATATGTTATATCATTTGCGTTGTATAGCATCAAGTATATACTGTATATACAAGCACAACAACACTCCAGCAGTCATCCTTTAGCAACTTTTCACTGCTTCATAAGACCAGAAGTATAGTGGTCCTGTACATTCTCATAAGGAATTAAGTGTTTTGTGTCTTTCATATAAAAATGGGTCACCTCAGTAGTGGGTGAATCTGTGATTCCTATCTGCTCCCTGCCCCACTGAGAGAAGGCAAGTGGGAGTGAAAATGACACGTCCTGTTTATCCTGTTAGGATAAACAGGACGTGTCAGGTCGTCCTGACGTAAACAGGACAGGACAGGACGTTTATCCTGTAAGGATAAACAGCTTGTCCAGTTTGACTTCCCGTTGGGGGTGTCATGCCGAGATTACACGTCTGATATGGACACTAAATGACCGTCATGACCACTTGGCACCAATAAACCTCATTGTTACTGTGCCAGAGAGATTGTTAATCACCAAATACCATTTTGTTAAATGAATTATTTACACTTAAGTGTTTGCATGGTTATGTAAACAATGGTTTAATTAAAATATTTTTTCCCCCTAGGAAGGAAGATGAACAAGCAATTCTGGAACTTTTTCCTCAATCCTCATTCCATTACATAGAAGGAGCAGGACACTGGTTACATGCTGATAAACCCAATGAATTTTTAGAATTGTTTTTTAGTCTTTTAAATTCTTAATTATGTAAAGCTATGTGAAATTATAGGAAGCATATTGCACAAACATCAGAGATATGTGTACATTTTTAGAAGTTTAAATCCCCCTGTATATACCATATATACTTTTATTAGATAAATGTACGATATGGACAGTACTGTACAGTATTATGGTTACTAGGGTATGTGTGGACACATTGACACATGAGCCTTTTAGCCCATGCATAAAATGAAACACACACACACTTAACTGTATATATGCACACATATGTACAGCATATACAGTACAATAATCGCAAATAATGTACATGTGTACACACGGGCATGACTTACATGTACACACCAATGTGTACGTGCATGCACATGCAAGCACTGGTCATCCCCCGACATGCTCTTGTAGCAGTCATTTAAATTTAAATTCTTGACAAAATATTAAAAACAGGTTGTGATACTGTATAAGAATGTTTTATATGCTAGAAAACAAATTCGCACATTCTATAGGTATGTAATAGAAAAAAGCATATGCTGCTGTCATTTTTTAGACTTAACTGGACACAGTATAGTAACCAGAATGTGGATTGTACATTCAAATCTTTTTGTGTTTTAAATTTACCTGGACACAATACCAGAATGTGGGTTGTAAATTATTTAAGTGCTTTTATACGTATTTCTGAGCTAAGGTTCCTCGTTTGCTCCCTTGAGCTAGCGGCTTACGGTGTATAGCTACAAGGACATTCTGCTTTCCAGACTGTAATTACTTGTTTGCAGAGTTAGGGAAGTGAGATATTAGTGAATCTAAATTCGAGCCACCACTGAGTGAGCAACTCTGTAATAAAAAAACAAACTTTGGAAGCAATATATCCCCCTTCAGATGAAAATTTGAGTTAAATAATGTCTATTCTCACTCTGTTAATTTAACAATTTAGCGATCCAGTGACACATTTTCATAGCATCTTTAATTTACCAAAAACATTCCAATGACTTTAAAATGCATCAGCCTCTCTCAGAATGTCTGAAAATCACTTCATTAACCATTTTACATATTCATGATGAAACTCTTGAAATATTTGAGTACAGTGTGGGCAGAGCTTATCTGGGGACCAACCAGAGATCACTTGGTTGGTCCAAGACGGTAATTGCTCTGCCAGTGTTCATTTTCTCTGCTTTCAAAATAAGCTGACAACATGGTATGAAAGTTGTTTTTCTTATTACAGCTTTAGAGACCAATCAACTGCAGTAGTAACTAAGATGAATTTCTTTCAATTTATCATTGAAATTTTGTCACTGTGCATGAGCTTTTCATCCTTTAACGGTAACTTCACTCTGTGTGGCCAGTTGTTTGCATGCCACTAAGCTTCAATATGATGGAGCTTCCCTTAAGTTGCTCCCCTACTTTGGTGGTGCCTAGGCCTTCTTCTGCCATTGTAGCTGGCTTAGTTGGGTAACCGAGCAGCCTTTGCTGAGAAATAGGAAGTTAAGTGAAATGAAATGCTCCTTTCTGATCCAATCCCTCAATTACTCTCCTTCCATCTCTTTATTCAGTCTTTGCAGAGCATGCTTAGATGGCCTGGCAATTAGTGATGTTGCTGGCTCCACTGATCCTGTTGTGGCAGTGGTGCTGCATCTGGTGGTGACTTCAGCACTGACTGATTGCCCAGCTTCTGGCATAGCAATTTAACATTATTTTATTCACAGGTTTGCTTGGAAGGTGTTTATTGAATCTAATATTTGTTGTTATATATTACAAGAAGTTGGTCTCGGTGATGGCTCGAGTTTAGATTCACCCCTTTCTTCCTTCTCCAACTACGGACTAGATTATTTGCAAATTTACTAGTCATAATGGTTGAACTATTTATTAGAGCTTGGTGAATTAGAATTCTTCTCTCTAGACCCATAGAAGCCACTGGCTCAAGGTAGCAACTAAGGAGAAGCCACTGGCTTAAGGTAGGAACTAAGGAACCAGCTTTGAAAAGAACATTTAATTTTAACGCCATATTTATTTATTGTGAGAAGTGGTATATTATATATGGTATTTCTTTGACTCAGGAGGAAGCTTCAGGAAATGTTGATTATTTTGTAAATACATTGACTGCAATAAACATCAAAGAAATTGCATTATTAAAATGAAACCATTATTTAAGCCTACTAGTTAAATGTGGTAGAGTAGGCATGTAAAATCTCATTGAGGTATAACATAAACAAACTTACCCCTACAGCATGAATCGTTAATAGTTAAACTGTTTCTGGTGGCGACATAATAATGACGTATTAGATTCTAAGGTAAATTTACAAAGATGACAACAAATCAATGTTCAAAGCTAGGAGGGAGGGAATTATCAAGGGAAAGCGCCAAGCCATTACGACTATACAGTATAGCACTTGGAAGGGGTCAGGATAAGGACTTGGGATGGGACGGGGTAAAGAATGTGCCCAACCACTTGGATGGTCGGGAATTGAACGCCGACTTGCATGAAGCGAAACCATCACTCCGTCCAACCCAAGTGGTTGGGCATTCAAAGCTAGGAACAGAAGAAAGAGAAGTGCAGATGAGTCACAGAGATAACAAGGAATTGTAATATAAGTGTAATGGGTTAAGGGAAGTAGTTGAAGCTAACTCATCACAATAATAAATATAAATTTGAAAAGAAAAGCAATAGAAAGAATAGAAAGAGATATTGTGGTGAACTACAGAATGTTTGAAGAACTGATGGTTGAGTCTTCAAACACATCTAGGTAAGTACTTTATTTTAATTCTTTAAATAAAATGCAAACCAGTAAACCAATTTCAGGACAGTAAAGTGGAATATACAAGAGTACTCTATACTTGGTATAAAGTGCTTCAATGATCTAAAAGGCAGTTGAGGGTGGCTCTTAAGCGCTTTTTGTGGCATAAGGTGAGGAGCTCTCGCCTGGGAATTCAGTGTGTATGAAGATCCATAATCCCATGTTTACCAGTGCAGTATATGCACAGTATCTGGAAGTTAAGTCTGGCCAGGCAGCTGCATCTCCTGGGAAGCAACTTGCTGCTTTATTGAGGACTAAGGATAAAATGGGAGGATCAGTATTGCCCAGGTAAATCAGTCAAATCTTTTAGTTGGACTAAGGTCAAGTAGGCACTGAGGAGTTAGCACCTGTATTTGTCTTTGGTGTGCTATCCAGCTCCTCAGACGTGATCGGCATTTACTACTGTATCCATATCCCAGAAATTGAGCCTTTCAGTATTGGCCCAACTGTGTTGACCTCTGTGTTACAATTTTGTGTATTATTGAAGGTATAATGAAAGAGCAAGCTAGTTGAGTACAGGAACTTCTCCAGGTTAGCAACTCCCTGATTAAAATTAACAAGATTGACAGTTAAACTCTCAATCCCCCTTCACTGAACATGGTACATGTGTAGGAACTATCTTTCACCTCAACTGTTGTTTGAGGACACAACATGCCTACCATGATTCCTAAATGCCTACCATGATATTAAGACCATCATTGAAAGTCAGGGTCATCTTGTACTTTCTGTGCTCACATATACCTGACTTCTACAGGGTAAACAATCAAAGATCCTGAGCATTGCTAAAGTCTCTTTTGATACCAGTGTCCTTCCATTTTCTGTAACTCTTGGGTGTATGACCTGTATTCAGTATTGTCATTCAAAATCCAAAATTAATTAAGTGGCTATTGTTTGTGTCTGCCTATTTGGTTAACACTCCACTTTTGTGTATGCGTATAGATAAAGCCCTAGTCTTTCACCTAAATGGATTTATCCTTTGTAATTCCATGTCTGTTGTGAATGCTATTGGTTCTTATTTCTCTACTATATGTTTTTACTGGTATCCACTTGACCACCTTGCATTCCTGTAAACCAACTTTGGAATGAATCACAGGACATGAATTTAAAAATTCCAATGGGCATTATTCTGAAAAAAATGTATTTATGCTAACCGAAATACAAACTGGTATGTTTGCAGAACTCTTGGTAAGGTTTTTTCAATCATACCTGTAAGTCCAACACTGGCTGTGACAATTGTAACTCTGAAGACATCATAAGAAGAAAGGTAAAATGCCATGCAACCTCTGAAGAGTCAACTAACACAACACATGTACCCCCTATTACTATTTTACAGGAACTTCTTTTCGACAGCTCATAAAACGTAGGAAAGGGTCCTGAATGATATTGTTGATAGGAACATCATCCCTACAGACAAAAAACAGAAAATACAATTGACGATTTACTATAAAACAAAAAAAAACGGCCAATCTACTCATGAAAAACTCTCCAGACACAAAGCAGAATGCCTTGAAGGAAACCAATGTCGTCTATGCCTTCAAATGCCCACTTGGGGACTATAAGTCCCAAAGAACTCAGTATATAGGCAAGACAACAACATCTCTTTCCAGGTGATTAACAATGCATAAACAACAGGGCTCCATAAAGGAACATATAATCTTCTCTCACAACCAGACCATCACCAGAGAAGTCTTAACAAACAACACAGAAATCATCGATAGGTACCGCGATAGCAGGCGGCTCGACATCTGCGAGGCACTACACATCAAAAAGTCAACACCAGCAATCAACAGCCAATTAATGCACAGCTGTATTCTACCCACTTCAAGACTCTGAACCAATATAGAAGCATCAAGAGGAAGTATGGGCCAATAGGCCCTCTGCAGTTACTTCCATTCTTATGCTCTCATATCCAATTAATACCCACAGTTTCGTGTTCTGTCTTGTATTTGTCACAAGTTTGTTCACCACATCCAAAACTGTTGCACCATATCACCTCGCCCAAATGCAAGTATAAGTATGATGGATTAGCTGACTGTTTAGTGTTTTCAGGTTACAGTTGTGGGTGTAAACTAAAGTCTTTAAAAATGTAATAAGTTATTATGAAACGCGTTCAAGCATCGCGTCAGACTAGAAATAAAAATGAATTTTGGAGAATTGATTTTTCAATTACCATCGAGAGTAAAAAGAAACATAAGAAATATTGAAAAAATTCGCGTTAGAATTATTAATCTTACTTTTTCGGTCATATTTAACAATATTATACATTATAAATTCTCGTCTGTATTATAATATGAATTACAATAATACCATAGTACTGTATTGCCGTTATTGCCACTCGTAGTACACGATGACGTAGGTACACAATGACGTAGTAAAGATGACGTAGGTACACAATGACGTAGTAAAGAGTAGCGGATGCAGCCTAGCCTATCATACAACAATATAATTGTCGTCTGCTCTAAGGAAAAAAATGTCTTCCTCAGTTATACGTTACATCCTGAGGTCACTTGTATGTTGACGACCTCTTCAGAATGACGAAGGAGCCTAGTTCACGCCTGTTGAACTACAGGTGGGTTAATAAGGCTGTTGGTATGGCCAAATGATCAGCCAGGAATTATATACTTTAGCCAGGAATATAGTTCAGGGGGTAAATGTAAACTCTTGAGTGTGTATATACATCGAGAAGTGAGGTATAATACACCTCTCAAGAGTATATATCTCCCGGCCCTGTGGCGCTGGAGGTCAGTGGCGCTTGTACCGTGGTGCGGGGAGGAAGCGTTGCGCTGCTCCCTAAACACACTTTCACGTGGTGTTATATACGGACCATTTCAAGGGATATATATACACAAGAGAGGTGTACCCTGGTTCTCTGTGTATATATACATTCTGAGAGATGACTTTAGTTCTGGATTATGGTTCAGGGCTAAATTATACGTGCTAGTTAGTAAACTAGTTTTATTTTTTTTAATTTTGCCCCGAGGGGCGAGTTTATTGGGCAGCGCCACTCATCCTGTCAGTGGACATACCGCCATAGAAACATGTACAACACTCCCCAATAGGAAGAAAACCCGCTGGCTTGTTCATCCTGTCACTTGTACCCCAGACACAGCTGGGACTTGCTTAACTGTCTCAAGTGAACAGCTCCTCAAACAAGAAGATTAACGTCTCTCAACCCTTAAAATCTTAAGTTATCTTGTAAACTAGTGCCACGAACTTTTCAATCCTCTTGCCGTTGATGGGAGGAGGTGAGCCCAATACCAAACCAAATTAGGACCATTTATTAATACTGAATGTGTTGATTTTCGTCGTTTATGTGGAAGTACTCAATTGTTTGTACTCTTTTGAGTACTCTTGTGGTTGTTGAGAGTACAGTAGTTTGCAGGTGAGATAATGTTCACACACAACTAGGCTACACGCATATCCAAGTTGAAGAGATTTTTAACATATCAAGCCCTATAAAGGTAAGTTATACTAATTGTATACTTAGTATATTATTCCTGTCAAACTCCTGATGGTTATTGATCATAAGATATTATACTGTGTGCCTGTTTAATGTAAAGTTTGTTCAAGTTTAAGTATGTTTATTGAAACAAGAAAAAATACATCTCAAAGGGATATAGAGTAGCTTAGGCTACACACAGAAATCACAATTGCGTGATGGATCAAATGAACAAATCCTCGTCACGGCCCTTGCGGATTTGTTCATAGCTTAGGCTATTTCTACCCCTCAAGTTCAAGTATGTTTATTGAGACAAGAAAGAAATACATCTCAAAGGGATAGAGTAGCTTAGGCTATTTCTAACCCTCATGTAAAGATTATTATGTTCCCCCAGACTGCTCAACAGTCATATCCTCAGTGACAGACTAGGGTTGTTTAGTTCACGTGGGTTCGAATACGTTATGACAGAACACTATACACAGAAATCACAATTGCGTGATGCATCAAAAGAACAAATCCACAAGGAGGGGGGGCTGCTATTTACAATTTACCATGTCGTAGCTCAGTCGATTAAGGCAGCGTCTGGGATGCTCTCGGACGCAAGTTCGAATCCTCGTCACGGCCCTTGTGGATTTCTTCAGTACACTATAAATTGGAAACTTGTTAACACCGAGAACTTTGCCACAGCACCACTTTGGGGACAAAAAGCCTAAGCTGTGCTCAGGGCTTATATCAAGGTCATCCCTCCTCCTTAGGTCGACCTACTGACCTTCCTCCAGGATGCAACCCCACACCAGTTGCGTAATTCACGGGCACCTATATTTACTGCTAGATGAACAGAGGCATCAGGTGTCCCCGCCTGCGGATCGAACCCAGAGAACGTAGAT